TGGCGGCGGCGGCGGCAGCTGCAGCCAGGCCTGGGCAGGGCGACCCGCCGGTTAACCTCAATGTGCCGGCAGACAGAGATGCATGGGTCAACATGGACCCTAACCGCTTCAACGACCTGTGCGAGCAAGCATACTTGAACGGAGACTTCAGTTACGTTCAGACAGCGCTACTCGCGAACCATTTCGGACTCGCAACGTTCATCAACGAGCGAGTGACACAGGATCGAAGGGAGGTGTCGAACGCCTGTTACAGAGTGCCCATAAGACCAACAGCATGTTGTTGGCGATCACAAAAAGAAAAGCTGCACTCGAAAGGGATGCTCGCAGACTGGTGGAAAGAGTCACCAAGTTGGAGACCAACAGTGAGGTACAAGAAAAGTTGATTGAGAGATTCGGTCAGCTTTCGGAAGCAATTAAAGGAGGAAATGGAAGCAAGCACGGGAGCGGTAAACCGATAAGCGAATATAAGGCATTACAGGCGCTAAAGAACTTCAGTGGAGAAAGAGCAAAGTTCAGAGACTGGAGCGACAAGTTCTTGAACGCGCTGGCCCAAGTGAAACCGAGTTACCGACCGGCGCTGAAGATGCTAAACAAGAAGTTGGAGACGCTTGACGGAGTCGTACCAGAGGAGGACGATGATGACATCATACGCATAACGAACGGCCGATTAGCAGCAAGCGAATATTTGAAGGCGAATCCAGCTAAACAGGCAGAGGATGACAACAAAGGCGAATACGAGTTTACCGAGGGAGACAAAACTCAGATGGAGGAAGACTTGTGGTACATTCTAAACGAGAAGCTCGAAGGTGCAGAGGCCAGAGGAAAATTAAAGGGACTTATGGATGGAGATGGAATCATGGCTTGGCAAAAGGTCTACAAATGGTACTCGGCGGTAACCGGAGCGACCCTATCATCAAAGATGACACATGCCATGAACCCTGAGCCGCCCAAGAAGATTACTGACACCGTTACCCGACTTGAGGAGTGGAGCGCATTGGCAGAAAACCTTGAAAAATACGGTAAAGATTACTCGCTGCCTCTTCCTTTTAAAGTCACCGCACTCAGGGCAATAATGGTGCATGCGAACGATTGGTTTGACGAATGGCAGCAGGCGTGCTGGCGAACGCCCGACGCGCTTAACATTGACTCATTCCAGAAGTTATATTCAAAGTGCGAAGACTGGGCGCGTAAAAAGAAACTCGACTCAGACACGAAAAATAAGGATGCAATGGACATTGGGAACATCAACGAGATGGGCCAAGGGTCCGAAAATGTTTGGGACCAAACAGGATGGGTTGACGAAGACGGAAACTGGTGGCCAGAAGATGGATCGTGGAGCTACGGGTCCTGGGCCAATGAGAGTGACAGTGGGGACCATGAAGAAATTGACGCCGTAAACAAAGGCAAAGGCAAAGGAGCGGGCCCCAGGTGTTACAATTGTGGAGGCATGAGTCATTTAGCCAGAAATTGCACAAGACCTAAACAGTTCACCAAAGGAGGTAAAGGTGGCAAAGGTGGAAAAGGCAAGGGTTACCGGGCCACCTACGGATCCTATGTGAAGGGTAAGATCGGAGGCAAACAAGGTGGTAAAGGAGGTGGCTCGTGGGGTGGAAGTTATGGAGGCCAAGGAAAATTCACCCCTCATAGCGAGCGTGAGTGTTGCAAGTGCGGTGCAAAAGGGCATATCGCCATTAACTGCCCGGGCCCCAAGAAGACCGCCAACGAAGTTGAGCAGGAGAGACCTACAATAAACGCTGAAAGTGAACAAACCACCTCGTTCGGCCAACCGCAACATGTTCTCAGTGTTGAGATGAAGGACGCAGTGAACGTGCCACTGGACCAACTTGCAACTGAGGAGGTTAACGGGCAATGGGATCTGCCCTCTTATGCCAGAAAGAAAATGGCACGTAAAACCGCGATGAGTTTGAAAAGAATTTACCAGGAACACCAATGCAACGGAGAGTCAATGGGACCGGAGGATAAGTAAAAGCATAAAGCAGGAAAAAAGTTGGCTGGAGAAGTGCAAGGAAATTGGGCTAATTGAGATGCGGGACTGTGATCCAGAAATTAACGCGGTGCCACCACTGAGCGCAACGCATGAGACAATCGTGGTTACCGTGGACTCTGGGGCATACAATGCAGTGGGACCCCCCAAAGTTGGCACTCATTTCCCCATTAAACATACGGACGCATCAAAGCAGGGAAGACAGTACAGCGCAGCGAATGGGACAACGATAAAGAATTATGGTCAACGAGTGATCACGGGCGAAAATGAGCATGGGAACGCCGTCAGCATGCCAATCCAGGTAGCAGAAGTCAACAAGGTTCTGGGATCCGTCAGAGAGATGGTAAACGCTGGAAATAGAGTTGTGTTTGACAAGGATATTAACGGGGGATCCCTGAGCCACATCATGAACAAGACCACAGGTAAGTCCACAACCATCCACGAGAAGAATGGCGCGTTTCAGTTTAACATCACGGTGCCGAGGGGGCCAGCGGAGACTGCCAATCCCAGGGGTGAAGTGAACGCAGCTGAGGGTTTTCCGCGGCCGGGAACCCTGGAGGCGGACCTATTCTACTAAGCCCCCCATCACCCG